AACCTTTATTTTCTAATTCATCTAACTCAATAGGATCAATAATTTTGGTGCAAATAGCAATGAAAAACATACAAAGTCTTGTAATAGTACTTCTCACATCGGTTTTCATAATGCCTCGAATAGTAAGTGGGAGTAATTGTTGCATCAACATGTGACAATTATGAGACTTCATCCCTGTTATCTTCAAATCTTGCATTGAAACAAGTTTGCTCAAATTAGAAGAATAACCTTGTGGTTCTTTAATGCTATTAACAAAACTACAAAAACTTCTTTTCTCTTCTTTTGATAATATGTGTGCAAGTGGATGTAAATAAGCCCTCTTATCATCTCTTTCTTGTGGGTGGAGGAGTTTTCTTATTCCAATTTCGACCAAGTCTCGTCTTGCATTAATTCCATTCTTAGTCTTTCCACTTATATGTAAAAGTGTACCAACGAGGCTCTCACACATATTCTTCTCTACATGCATTACATCTAGACTATGTCTCATATCAAGACTTTGCCAATATAGAAGATCAAAAAAGATAGATCTTTTCTTCTATATATTCCTCTCACCGGCCGTCTTCTTCTTCTTTCTACCAAAGACCACATTAATTCCCTTCACCCGTTGATAAACTTCTTCTCCAATTAATGGTATTGGAGCCATTTAATATTCTTGTGAGCCATTAAATGCCTTCTTCAACCTACGGTAAGGGTGGTGCCGACTAAGAAACCTTCTGTGACCAACGTAGACCGTCTTCCTACCATGTTTAAGTTGCATGTAGTGGGTGCTTCTTCGCATATCGGACATGCTTTATGTCCCTTAACATTATATCCTGATAAATTTCTATATGCCGGAAAGTCTTTTATCGTGGTGAAGATCGTGGCATGTAAATTGAAGATCTCTTGTTTATATGCATCAAACATATCAACACCTTCCCCCTATAATTTCTTTGGATTCTCAATCAAAGGTGCTAAATACACATCAATATCGTTTCCCAGTTGTTTGGCCCCGAGATCATCAAAAATAGCATGATATACTTTCTTTTCATACATAACCAAGGTGGCAAGTTATAAAGTACGAGGAGCATCGGCCAAGCACTGTGTGTGTTATTAAGATTACCATATGCATTAATTATGTTTGTGCAAAGCCCTAGCCGAAGGTTTCTTGGTTCGCTACCGAATTGAGAAAAATTTTTATCTATTGTTTTCCATTGAGGAGAATCTGCTGGGTGACAAAGCTTTCCATCACATAATTTCTCATCGAAATACCATCTCAAGTTCTTTGCTTCTGTGACATTAACAAATAGACACTTAAATCGTGATATTATTGGAAGATACCACAAAACCTTCAAAGGAGAACCCTTGGTCATCTCATTATAATCACCATTATCTTTCTTAACTTTGTATCTTGAAGTCCCACATTTAGGACACTTATTCAACCCTTCATATTCATTTCTGAATAATATACAGTCATTAGGGCACGCATGTATCTTCTCATATTCCAAACCTATCGAACACAAAATTTTCTTTGCCTCATACATTCATTTTGGAAGTGAATTCCCCTTTGGAAGAATATCACTCAGCAATTTAAGTAATTCCGTGAAACTAGCATCGATCCAACCATTTTTTGCCTTCAAGTTCATCAATTTCAATACTGTTGTCAACCTCGTGTAATCATCTTTACACCCTGGGTATAAAGGCATCTCTGTATCACTACACAGAGTTTCAAAAGTGGGAGAGAACAATGTAGAGGATTCAGACCTTATGTCACGAAACATATCCAAAATTTTATCACCAAAGTCTTCATTTACAACCTTCTCCTTCCCGGACAGTAAGTCTCTCTAATTTCTCCATACCATATCCAATTTGTATACCTCAAATTTATCCCATTATATATAAGATGATCTTTTATCTCAGAAATACTTCTCCGACTATTGTTTAAGCATTTGACACAACGACAATAATACAATCCATCTCTTTGACTAGGATATTTCTTTGAGCAAACTAAAGAAACCTTTCAACCCTATCCTCATATTTTTTGCTAATTCTCTTAGCTTTCATCCAACTACGATCCATTATTTTACAAAGTCAATGAACATAGTTGTCAAGCTCAATTCTAACTCCTTAATTCAAATATTGAAATAATAAAATAATTAAATGTTAGTCAATAAATTAAATTTGACTAACACTTAATTTACAAATTAAAGGGAATGTCTCTTTTTTAAAAATAAAAAATTTGATAGAATTTCCCTTTAAATATATAACAAAAGGAAAATTAGAGTGAAGGACCAAGAAAAAGTTATATTTATTACAAAAAATCTTAAAAATTATAATTATTTAAAAGAACCATAAATATATTAAATATATTATAATAAAAAAAATGAAATATATAATTACTTTTAAAAATTAGATTAAGTTATTTCTTAAAAATTGATATTTATAGTGAATGAGCGAAAATGTTGATAAAAGTATAAAATCAAACAAACATATATAAGTTTTGTAAAATATTTAAACAAAAATTATTTTAATCAAAATTAAAACTATTCTTCATGACATATTTCAACATGCATAAAGTTTTATAAAAATATAAAATTAATTTAATATAATTTTTTTCAAACACTTGTTTCTAATTTACAGTTATAGAAATAAATAAAAATAGATTTGTATATAAAATTTAGTTTTTTGTAAAAATAAATTTAAACATATATATACTTAAAGAAGTAAATTTTTATAAAAATATTATTCCCTTTAGATCCTCCATTCTAATTTTTCCTATAACAAATCCTAAATTTGTATAAAAAATAAACATATCAATCAATCAACCAAACCATTTTAACAGTGTAATAAACAAATTAAAGACATGATAAATTTAAAGAAATATAACAAATAAAACAAAAATAAGAATTCAATTTCTAACCAATTTAAAAGATTCTTAAAGCTAAAACTTCTGAATCCAAAATAGGAACACAAATGATTTCCATTTGCAATGAAATTTTAAACAACACTTTATCATCAATCAGTGTTCATAATGAAAAAAAAATTCACAAAACAAGTAATAGATTATTTATTACTAACTTATCAAATTTATTACAAAAAAATTACCGAAAATTCGAAATAAATATCAAAAAATTATTAAAAAAATAAAAACTTCAAAACTAGTCAACCTCAAACATTTAAACATGTTTCCAATACCGTATATAGGAAGGAATTGAGGTTTACTCACGTCAAATGCCACCAATCAACAACTCAAGCACATGAAAAATGAAAAATCCACAATGCAAACCAACCACAACGTAAAACTAAAAAACCCATTTGAAATACAACATATTTTTATGGTCAAAATATCCAAGAAACCAAAAAAAATTGAAAAGATTGAAAGAAGAGGACACTCACTCAATATGACGATTCAAAGGCGCGAAGTTGGGTGTTCGAACGGCGGTGGACGGCGGCAAGACACCACAAGCTAAATGAAAGAGTTTAAATGGTGGGAAAGGCTTGGGAATAGCCGGTAATGGAAGTTTGTTGGTAGTGAAACAGTGGGGGACCACGACATACTAATACGAAACTGTGAAAATGAGTAAAACTGAACCCTATTATTCGATTATTTTAAAACTTTCCACGACGATTATTAAGAAAACCGTCATGGAAAGTATTTTTAAGGACGGTTATTTATTTTTAAGGGTGGTTATTTAAAAATACTTTCCACAACAGTTTTCTTAATAACCACCGTGGAAAATCACTAGTCAAGAAACTTATTTACAAAAATACCACCGCTTTTTTTTTTTCCACAGTGTTTTTCTTCTTAACCGCCGTTATTTAGCAATGTTATATGTTTTTTTTCTAGTAGTGCGATCACATTTGCAAAAGAAGAATGGTTGAGGGGGTATTAATAGGGGGTTTAGGAGGAAAATGATAAATATAGGAGATAGGTCTTATATTTAGGATCGAGATTAACTCTTTAGTTAGGTCATACATTAAGAACCAGAGGAGTATAAATTAACTTAATTTGACCTACCAACATTTATAATTAAAATTGAAATGGTAATACATATATAAGAAAATAAGAACATGAAAACATACAAACATAAAATTATATGCCCTCCCTATTTATTCTAGGTTTGTCATTGTTAGCAGGGTTTAGCTTAAGATGAATATGGAAGCCCTTCTCCTAGTGAGTATTTTACAGAGAGCGGATTTTACACAGAGCCAGCAAAAAATTCCTTTAATAATTATCCATTTTCATGACCAGCTCAAAAAATTTAGTAGATTTATTTAGAAGTCTTTAATAATGACCCTAGATATAACCTATCTTGTTGGCCATGAAGAAAACATATCCCATTTTTAGGATATGATGGTTGGTTGTTCACAAAGTAGCACTACGAACTCATGTTTTCTTTTCTCTTGTTTTTTTGTTGTGAATATCAGCAATGCAATTCATCCAACAATAAACCTAGTCCAAATGATAGAATTAGGACACAAGCAAACCCAAAGAAACAAAATGTTTTATTTTCCAATTACTTCCTCAATTATATTGGAGGAATAATAAATACATATTAGGAGTTCTCATATCCCCTTCAGAAGGATGTGTGTGTGTGTATGGATGGATTATTTGAATACATCATAATTTTTGTCACTTGGTTCATACAGACACACACAGAACTCAAATATTGTACCATGTGGATTTCACAAGGATATATTTATTCATTATTTCTTTTCTTTTCTTTCTTCTTCTTCTGACTTGATATAAATACAGGGATCCAGCTACACTAAAGATCAATACTCTAGTTTATGTTTTTTATATTATAGAAGGATTCAGTAATGAAAACTCTAGCATTTCGAGGTTAGTCTCAACCAAGGCCATATCTTGTGGGCTCAAAAGTCACCCACGCTTCGATTCCCTTTCCTTCACTTGTATCCATCATATAATTTCTATTACTAAAGTCAATCTGGTTTCCAAAGGTACATTTTTTATTATCTATAGAAGATCCTTTGCCATGACAAAAAGAAGAAAGTTTTGCCTCTCAGGGTTCAAAAATATTCTGATTCAAGATTTGAACTTTCTCAACAAAACTTCAATATAAGTAGAAAAAACCATAAAGAATATTCGTATCATTCTTTTGTTAATTGAGAAAATAAGAGATGAAAGGTTCGCGTATGATACCTTTTTGGGATGCAATTGAAGTCCCCTGCCTCAAAAGGCGATAGAACAGTCAGAAAATCCATAGAAGGATAAAGAGATCCCAGACAATACTTCGGAATCGTTGACTCAGTGATACACCCAATAGATATAGAAGACCATGCTTTGATGAATGAAGCAATTGTTGAAGCATCAACAATTTTGTGAGATGAGGACACACCAATTACCAAACCTCTACAATCGAACAGATTCACTTGAACTTTCAACAAAAACCCATTTCCGAACTCAGCATCATCATCGTCGTCGTCGTCGTCGTCTGGCACAAACTGCTGTATAGTGTCATTGTCTGGTCGTTTAAGGATTTGTACGAGGAAGCCATGGACATGAGCCTCACAAAACTCAACACCTTCATCTTTACATTCAATTATTGCATTGTCTTTGACTCTCCCTGCTAGAGGGTAAAAGTAGGCCAGAGTCTCAGGCAGTGACGTCTTTAACCTCTCACACCTATTGTCAGCAACCTTACGTTCAGATTCAACATCGACAAAGAAAAATAGAATTCGAGTGTGCTTCGCAGTTGCAATCTGGTCGAAAAATGATAGCTTGAAAATTTTCAAGTTTTTGAGTTGTTGGAGATGATGGCTTTATGGTTTGTTTCTACACAAATTCAACCTTCATCCTGTGGCCTGATATATAGAAACTATAGTTAGCAAGTAAGAAGGACGAAGAATAATCCCGCAATGAAGATGAGAGAGATCAACCAGAAATGATGGTAATAGAGATTATAAGAATAAGAAAGAGTGGTTAATTAAGTAGAAGAAAAGAATAAGAAAAGTATTACTCATCTAACTAATTGATTAGATTAAAGAAGTAAAATAAGTTAATTAATTATTAATTATAAAAAATATAACATATTTTTTCTAAAATGCTATAATCATTTTCCTTAATATCATTTCTCCATCTCCTATTTGATTATGGTTGAAGAGTATCAATAGAGATAATTTTTTAAAAAAAAGATAAATATGAAAAATAAATTTTATATTTAAGACCAAAATTAACTCAATAATTAGCTTCTATATTATTAAATACAGGAGGAGTACCAAATTAAATCAATGAAGAATAAAGGAGGAGAGGACTAGCACTCATTAGCCGTTTGGCGATTTCTATCCTCCATTGTCAAATATTATCGTCCTAGTTGAAGAACCTTCTCCCCTTCGTTTTTTATTTCAGATCTGCAACAATAGAAAGACACTCTGATACAACAGGCAAAAGAAAGTGAAATCCCAATTATATCATGGCTAAGAAATAAAAAAGGAAAAATGACAGATAAAGAAGTTTGAAAATGTGAAATGCCAATTTGGGAAGCTAAGGAAATGTAATTACAGATAGGGAAGTCCTTCCCAAATTGGAATTTTGAAATTCAATGAAATGACAAAAATGCCCTTTGTCCTTTTTTTTTTTAAAAAAATCCCAGCCCCTCACCGGTGGTTGCCGACCGACTGGCCTTCGACGGCCGCCGACCGCCTCTGGCCAATGGCACCGGCCACTAGTGTGGTGGCTGCCGGTGAAGGATTTTTGTAACAACATTTTTTTTTTGGAATGGGATAATATGGGTTCAAAGTGGTAGGGTGGGATTTGATCCCACAACCCCTTGGCCACTTGGGCCAACAAAAGGGAAGATGGCTATTGGGCCATCAAAGATTTCTTAACCTTATAATGTAAACAAAAATATAAGTTAACTCTTTTACTGTGACTCCAGCGCGTGACAACAATTTATCTGAGGATGACAAGTCTTAATTGAGAAATAACAAGTCTAAATTTGATATTAACAAAGCAACTTTTTCTTATACATAACAAGTAGCAGCATGTACATTAACTAAAACTGACCATAATTGATTTAAAAACGACACGTCTTTACTGAAAAATGACAAGTCTAAACTTAATACTAACAAGGCAACTTTTTCTTATACATAACAAGAAATAGCATGTATGTTATTTAAAAATGACCATAATTTATTTGAAAATAACACGTCTTTACTGGAAAATGATAATTCTAAACTTGATATTAACAAGGCAACTTTTTCTTATACATAACAAGAAATACAAGACAACTTTTTCTTATACATAACAAGAAATACCGAAGATATTAACAAGGCAACTTTTTCTTATACATAACAAGAAATACAACGCAATTTTTTCTTATACATAACAAGAAATACCGAATAAATTGTTGTCATTTTTAGTAAAGACGTGTTATTTTCAAATAAAAAAATGACCATATTTTTATATTTGAAAATAACACGTCTTTACTGGAAAATGACAACAATTTATTCGGTATTTCTTGTTATGTATAAGAAAAAGTTGCCTTGTTAATATCAAGTTTAGACTTGTCATTTTCCAGTAAAGACGTGTTATTTTCAAATAAATTATGGTCATTTTTAATTAACGTACATGCTATTTCTTGTTATGTATAAGAAAAAGTTGCCTTGTTAGTATCAAGTTTAGACTTGTCATTTTTCAGTAAAGACGTGTCGTTTTTAAATCAATTATGGTCATTTTTAGTTAATGTACATGCTGCTACTTGTTATGTATAAGAAAAAGTTGCTTTGTTAATATCAAATTTAGACTTGTTATTTCTCAATTAAGACTTGTTATCCTCAGATAAATTGTTGTCACACGTTGGAGTCACAGTAAAAGATTTAACTTATATTTTTGTTTGCATTATAAGGTTAAGAAATCTTTGATGGCCCAATAGTCATCTTCCCTTTTGTTGACCCAAGTGGCCAAGGGGTTGTGGGATCAAATCCCACCCTGCCACTTTGAACCCATATTATCCCATTCCAAAAGAAAATGTTGTTACAAAAATCCTTCATCAGCAGCCACCACACCAGTGGCCGGTGCCGGTGGCCATAGGCGGTCGGCGGCTGCAGGAGGCCATAGGCGGTCGGCGGCTGCCGGAGGCCAGTCGCCGGCCATCAGTGAGGGGTTGGGATTTTTTTTTTAAAAAAGGACAAAGGGCATTTTTGTCATTTCACTGAATTTCAAAATTCCAATTTGGGAAGGACTTCCCTATCTGTAATTACATTTCTTTAGCTTCCCAGATTGGCATTTCACGTTTTCAAATTTTTTTATCTATCATTTTCCCAATAAAAAATGTAAAGTAAAATCAGTGGCCAATATTACTCGTGCTCAAATATATCAATGGTTGAGATTAGGGCTGCACATGGGCAGGGCTAGGCAGGGCAAACCCCTTGCCCGATGCCTAGTCCGAAAGATGAGCCCGGCCCTGCCCAGTAGAAGCCCTAACCATTTTGGGCAAGGCAAGGACGGGCTGGGTAGGGCGGGCTTTTCTGCCCAGCATAGTGACACCATGTCCTATATCATATGTAGAAAAAAAAAATTCAATTATCGTGTTTTGAGACAAGTGAGAGGAAAAAAATTATCACAAATGTGTCTATCACTCATATATATATATATATATATATATATATAAGGCCTATGTAGTCTTGTTCTTCAACTTTCAATTTCTTATGGGAGGTAAAAAAAAATATATTTAATAATTAGAACATTTAATAATCAAGCTAAATCAGTAGTTCAATTCCTTAGTTTATTTATATAGTTGGCAGATTCTTATAATCATGTGAAAGCACAAAATTTGAAAGGTGGTTTTATTTTTCTTTTTTTGTTTTAAAAAATTGGATGTAAGCGAAAAAGAAAGAAATTTGACTTGGAGTAATTTAGCATATTGAATCTTATATTTTGATATTTAGCTCTTTTATATAATTATAATTTTATGTTCCTTTCATTTTTTTCTAATTTTACCCAATTTTTTTGGCCAAAACAAAAGAGATAATTGCTTAAAATAATATTATCTTATATATATAATTATATATTTTTCGGGCAGGGCAGCATACCCTGCCACGGCCCTGCCCAGCCCATGAATCAGCCCAGCCCGAAGATGTCCATTTTTGCTTGGGCAGCTTTTTACTAGGCTGGGCTGGGCGCTTTTCTTGTAGGGTTGGACGGGCTTATTGGGCATACGGGCCTCATGCACACTCCTAGTTGAGATTGCTTGGTGTTTCACTTTTACCAACGCGCACATTTTTCCGTATGTATTTTCAGTTTTTCCCTTTTACATATGAGGTCGTACTTAAGCACGCACGTTATTTCCCACAAGCTGTCAAAAGCCTCATACTTTTTCCAACCTCCGATATTGACGCCAATGTAAATCCCGCAATATAAGTAGCTACCAATGGATATTAGTTGGAAACGGATAATTCTTCTTCAGATTCAAATTACATATTTTATATTACTGCTATTTTTGAATTATAAAAATGTATTTAAGTCATCAATATATATTAATATTAGTTTCTATGATGACTATATTAAAATTTTTTAAAGCTCCTTTATTATTATGTATTTGTTTTATTTATATTACATATAATATTATTTTTAATTTAATTATTACAGCACCAGTTGAACCAGACTGTTTGATTGATCAATTTAACTATTTAAAACCTGATTCACTAGCTTTTCTGGTTTAGCGTCTAGCTAGTCTGGCTTTTAAAACATTGTTTCTAATTAATTCATATACCCTTAAATTTTTATTGTTACTTTTAATATGCCTATCTTCTTTAGTGTTCCAATCAAATCATACATTTTATAATTTATTCTTTTATTTGACCTTTATCATTATTATTTCGATTTGATGTGTATATTTTAATTCTATAATTGGATCACGCATATTAATCTCTTATAACTTGTTCTTTTTTAGGAAAATTACACTTAGGTCCCAAGTAAAAGGATTTATCATCATAAAATCTCATGAAATCATCAAATAAATAAGAAGTCTTAGGAGATCTAGCTGTGATTAAATCTAAATATATAATTACTAATTTGACCTTGTTCATTAAAAAGAGAAGTAATCGATGGTATTAGTTGTCAATACATACTGCAATAATTATTAATTTAGTTATTTTAGTTGTCAATAACAAAGTTGTGGTGCATGTTAATATCGCGCATCAATTGCCAAGGCCATTAGGATCATTGAAAAGCTATTGACATCTCAGAACTACTCTTACATTCACTCCTTGACCTACCATTTCACCTTTTTATTCTTAGCTTTCAAAATTATTGTCTTAAACATTTCCACTCAATTTTCATAAGGAATCCATATATAAGTTTAGATTTAGGAGAATCACAAAGCTTCACCATGAACCATGCTTGACCAAGAGGTACTATTACTTTTTCAAATTGTTAATACAATCATTGGTTCCTTAAATTTGCATGAATTTTGATTTTAGTCCCTCAAGATTCAAATCATGAGTTTTGATCCTTCAAAGAACAAAATGATCCAAATTCTTACTAGCTACCTTTGGTTTTAATTATAAAATCTCATTTGTAATCTACAAACCAGGTCTTATAATTAAGACTAGAGGTAGTATTAAATTATAGAAAATAATATTTTAGATGAAAAAAAACTTGAGAGACCAAAACTTATGATTTGAAACTTGAAGAACTAAAATCAAAATGAAGATAAAATTAAGAACCAAAGATTATATTAGCCCTTTTAAAAAATTACTCTTTTGACCATAGCTTGGTTTCCAGGTTTCTTTGAGTGGCTTAATTAGCTTAAAACTTTGTTAAGAAAATATATATAGTTAAATCCTTAGCTAATCATGTGAATTTCATAAAATATTTGGCAGCATTTCCCCTAAGAAAATTTTTTAGAAAGGTTTATATCCAAGAGAGTGGTAATTGGGTGAACAGTATAAACCGAAATCTTTCTTGCATCATAGAAAAATAACAAGTAACATTGGGTATAAAGACAATGAACAAGGAATGTACAAATATGATATGTAAATTAGGTATGCTAAAAGTATAAAGAGGCAAGGGAAGACAAGACACAAACAATGATTTATCAAGGTTTGCTCTCTCATTGACCTATGTCTATTTCCTAAGCACCCTTGAGATTTTCAATCTACTAAATCTCTCAGGTTTAAACTGAGTGCTTGATAACCACTATAATTTTGCTAGTTTACTCGGGAATTAGTGAAGCCATATCTGCTCCGTCGTACTTGAGAACAGTACAATTCTATAAGTTTGATATAGACATTTGTGAAACCAGTACAATTTCTAAAGTTTCACACAAGTGCTTTAGAATCTAGACTCCCCTTTACTCCTTGTAATGTTACAAACCCTTCAAGATCTCACTACATTGAGTAATTCTTCAAATGCATGAAGGTCGATTATCGTCAATAAACTCTTTACTCAAAGAACTACGTTATGTTTATCATTACAAGATAATATGAATGTTGAACTTTGAATTTAGTACTTAGTCAAAATTCCAAAACAATATTCTTCTTTGTTTGATATCGACTTTGGATTTCACATTGGTGTCTCATTTCTTTTTCAACTTGAGTGCTTCTCCTTTTGTACATAGAGATTTGGTGATCATTCCAGAAGTCGAGTTATTTGTTAGAGATAATTGGTCCTCTTACTAGGGACTTCAAATGGCCGTTGGATGTATAAAATGCTTATGTCAGAAAAGCAGCTCTAGTAAGTGAGATAGTTGTTATAAATGCTTCCTGCATGTAAAACATGTTTTCTTTACAAGAAATAAGTTAATTATTTATAAGAAGCATTTATGATCAGTTCGTAAAATTTGATATTTGAAAGCAGAGCAACATGACTCGAGTGCGTGACTTGAGTTCTATAGAATTCATTTGGCATCTCTCCTTTCTCTAAGCACTCCTCCATCCATTTATCAAATCTACACACCTTCCTCTGAGCGAGTAAAACTAGTTTGATTTATAGAAGAAAAGGCTGCTCTATTATAGTGGTAGCAACCTCATGTGTCCACATAAAAGTGCTGATTGGGGCATGAATTTCCAAAGAAAATGATTTTATAATATTTAATAAGTTTATTTTACAATTTCTCAGGCCCAAATTTTTTAGTATAACCATCTAATATACTATATTACCGAATTAAATTTAAATACTAACGTTGCCAAGTAGAACTTGGTAATCTTAACGTGCTTTTTTTCATCCGTAAGTGTAAACCCCACAACTTTGGTTAAGTCTTAGTGGTCAAGATTTTATATGGAAAATTATATCAAAACAAAGTACTCATCTGGTCCTTAATATAGGATCTAATTGTTGAGTTAGTTTTGTTCCTAAATATAAGACCCATTTCTCATATTTATCAATTTTCTCTACATTACCCCTATAGATACTCCTTCAATGATAATCAAATAGAAGATGAAGATGGGGTATTAAGAAAGATGATTATGGTATTTTAGGAAAAACGTGTCATGTTTCTTATAATTAACTAACTTATCTATTTTCCTTAATCTAATCAAATTAGTTAAATAGGTCTTATATTAAAAACCGGAGGAGTATGTAATAAAAGGGATTCTCCTAGATTGTGGGATATTGATTCGCGTTTAACAAACGTGCACGCATGATACATCCATCAGCATAATTTAGTTAATTTTAGTGGTCATATGAATTTTAACGTTTTCGTTTCTTAAATAAAATGTTTTTAGACATTCTGCAATCAAATTTTAATCTTATATGCATATTATTTATCCAATATCTTGTTGACTGTTCTTTTGATTGTGCAAAGAAAACAAAAAAAAAATTTATCTTCATATTTTCGCTTAGTGCATTATTCTGGCATTCTTTTCCTCAACAAAATCATTCCTGTCAACCATCTATCCGCATATTTATAATAATAATAATTAAAAAAAAAGTACCTGCGATGACAATTTCATAAACCAACGTAACATACCATGAAAATTCAAATGTACCCAAAGCAGAAATCAGTAACATAAACGAGCAAGGACAAATTATATACAACTCAATAGTTTTATATTTTATATGATAGCTGGATTTAAGGATGCAAAATCAAGCAATTCTTGGTTTCTCTCCAAGAAGGCCATATTTTGTTCACTCAAAGTCACTGATAAAGCCCAATTTTTATACATTTTATTCCACATTAAATTAGAATTTAAATGATAATTTTGAGCTTAATTAGATTTTTTATGCATTATTGGATAAATTGGTTGATTTTTGGATTTTGCATAAAAATTGAGATTTTGGATTAAAAATATAGATATTTTGTGCTTTCCTATTTTTGACTTGGAATTAATTTTTCCTATTTCTTTGAAAACAAGTCTCATATTTTTGAAAAGACTATTTTTAGAAAATTTTGCACTTTCTTACCTAATTTTTGTGCATATCTAATATTTAATTTTTGATTATATTTGGATATAATCTACATTAATGGATGCACTTAAATTCTTGTAGGTCAAGAAAGAGCACATAGAAAATCCAATGGTGCAAGATTGTTCCTTGGGATTTAAGCACAATCCAATGGCTAACATCAAGCGGGTCAATTAATTACTAATGGGCTTGAGTTTTGAATCCACAAAAATTTCCTTTTCCCTCATTATACTATTTTCCTTATTTTTGAAGGAGGGAGGCACGCCTAAATAACACACTTCCATCTACATTCATGAACGGACAATTCAACACCCAAGGATATTTCTTTCCTTCTCCATTCGGCCGCTGGACAAAAAAACAATTGCAATAAAGATTCATCTCCTTTCCCTACGCAAAAAGCCATCTAGTTATCCATTCAACCAATTCCATTCCATAGTCACTAACTTCATGCGTCACATGGCCGTGCTCCGCGTCAACAAGCTTGGAGGGAAGATTGTTTTGATGGAAGCTTAAGCTTCTTTGGGAGGCAACTTGGGAGGAGCATAAAGGAGACTTGAGCCTTGGGCTAGCACTTGAAGACCACAAGGGAGTGATGTTCCATTCATCTTTTTAATTCAAGGACTTAAAATTATTTAGTTTTAAATGATTTTAAGTTGTATTTCTGTTGAGACAATTTAGTTCTAGATTGTCAATTTTATTCTTGGATTGAATTGATATTTGGATTTTATTTGTGTTGAGACACTTGTTGGAATATATGTTTGGAACCTTTGCATTGTTAATTGAATTTATAATTGAGTTTTCATTATGAGTTTAATTATCAATGTGGTTTGAATTGCAAAATTTGGGTTCTTTCACCTCTTAATTGTTTAATTAAGTTGGTTGATTATCTGATTGTTTAATTGGATAATTTGAAACATAATTTCCAAAATTAAATTGAGATATCTTCATTGGTTTTGATAAGCTTAATTGACCAACCTTATACTGTTATGAGTTCTCTAATGGTTTAAGGGTTTTTGAGATTAAGGGTTCCCTTTATTTCAAATAGGTGATTAAGTTTATTAATTCCACTCTCTTATCACTTTCCTTTGGTCTAATTAACCGATTAAGGTTATGAAAGTTAAATTCATGCGAATCCTGAGTTGTCCCCTCTACCGTACCTGAAGAGAAATATCTGAATTTCTACTTGTTAACTCTCTTTGCTTTCTGATTAATTTTCTTTATCCATTATTTTTATTTTCTTTCAAAAAACCCCCCAAAAATTACATTGCATTCATTTAGTTTAATTTAATTTTCATACATATTTTAGAGCATTTGCATCTTGCATTTAGAATTAGAATTTTGTATTTTAGTTTAGGTCCAATTTTTTTTTTTTTTATCACCTGAATTTTTACCTAAAGAAACCCATAACTTGCTCCTTGGAAGTAATGACCTAGGTCGACCCTAAACTACAAATTAATTGGGACCTAGTTTAATTGAGTGCTTTAACGACAAAAAGCATCATCAATTTTGGCGCCGTTGCCGGGGAGCAATGGTTAGACTTTAGGTTTGAGTTCTAGGTGATTTCTCTTGTTTTTCCTGCATTTCTTTTTCTTTACATTTTATTTTCTCTTTATTACTTGCGTCTTCTGTTTTCGGTTGATTTTGCTAAAACATCCTGTGATGAATTTTAACTTTTTGCTACCTAAATTTCCTTGAAATTCTGGTTGTTAAAGTTTTTGGGTGTGCTAATCGATTTTGAGTTGTTTTAGCCAAATTCAACCATTTTCATTGAGTTTTCTAATTTTCTTGTTTTTTTTTTCAAATTTTCTTTATTATTTTTTTTTTCAATTTTCCAGGTTTTTCTTCTTTAATTTTTTCTGATTATTATTATTATTTTTTAGCCTTCTTTTGCTAGTTTAGTTTTTCTTTTCCTTTTATCTGTGTTGATATTCTTGATCTTAAATTTGTGATGGCTTGGAATGCTTCTTCTTATGAAAATCATTCTTATATTTCTATGCCTTATCATTATGTCCATGATGTGACACAGGGATATGATCCATATTCAAGAATAGAGAGTATGTTGGAGACTATGACTAATGTTCCAATGTGGCAAAATTACTCAAATCTTGGATATGTCCATCAAGTTATGCCTATTCAAGAAGACTTAAAGTTAGAGAACAAGCTGGAGACTATGATGCAAATCCTACTAAACAAGTTTGAAGAAAGGGAATTGTGACACAATCAAGCGATTCAGACTCTACAAACTCAAATTCAGCAGTTGTCTAATGCAATTAGCGACTTGGAAAGTGGAGAATTGGAAACAAATGGTGAATTATCATATGATAGCACATTTTCACCCTCCAATGATCTATATCCTTTTACTCCTACCATCTCACATAATGATATGAATAGTACAGTAACTGAATATGCATGCACTGATGATGTTTCTAGATTGACTGGTTCTCTTGAGTCAAATAATGTGGCATCTTGCAATTCATGTGTTGATACTTCTTCCTATACCTCTGATTCAAATTCTGTTGATTTTGTTGGGACGAAAGAGAATTTTAAGCAAGATGATTCTGATGATGAAATTGATGAAGAGATTATTGTTGAGCCCCCATACACTGTTGAGTCCAAAGATAATGTATTATCTCTGAGTGCTGATGCTCCTTTGTGTATTGATGCTTTGCATGGTAAAAGTAGTATTTCTTTTGATTCTGCTGACATCACTTGTGATCTTAACATGACTGCTGTTAATGAGGATGTTGTCAAGGATAAGTGTGGGGGAAATCTTGAGTTGGATGTGCACTTAAACAGTAAGGACATGTTGCCTGATGAGACTTCACATGTAGAATTTGCTTTGTGCAATGACGATGATAAGCATGGGGAGACCATTTTGAGTAATCACCTTTCACTTCATTCTCTAACAAACTTGACTCTTACTGAGGAGAGTCATATTGATTTTGAGGGTTGTTCACAATATTTGGGAGTTCCAAGTCTTTGCTTTCATCAATTTATTTTGGGATCTTCCTTAATTGCTGAAAAGTTTGTTGAGTTTGTTGATTATATTTTTACGAGACAGGATATTGCTTGGAGTCATGGTTTTGTGCAGGTATATGAATTGATTCCTCCTATCCAGACACCTTCCATACTTGAATTAAAGCGTTTTTTGAGGATCTTAAAGAAGGAGATAATGTCTTTTGAACATCAAAAGCAAATACCAATGGTGCTTTCATGTGACTTGCCACCAGACAAAGGAGATATGCCAACTCTACTACTTCATTTGGGTCTTCAAACTTCTGCTCATCTGGTCGTATTCCTTCCTTCCTCTTTTACTTGCGTTACTTGTTGGTATTGGTTAAATGTGCATTTCACATTGAGGACAGTGTGTGGTCTAAGTGTGGGGGAGGGATTTTGTTCCTACTTTTGGTTTTTATTTTTTGTTTTTAAAATGAGGAAAAGAAAAATATTTTGGTTTTTACTTTGGTTTTTGTTTCTTATTTTCAAGAAAAGAAAGAAATCTTTTGTTAAAAATTTTTTTTTTTTGTTTTATTTTGAATGTGAAGATTGCAAGTTTGAAGTGATTCAAGTATGATGCATTCTTAATTTGAAAAGTGATTGATCATGTCTTGAGAAGATAAACTAAGTGGCAATGGATTTGACTTAGGTGAATTTAAGCTAGTAATCATATGCCTAGTGAGGTTTTGAGCCTGATGCATTTTTTCTTTTCATGTGTGTACATCCCTATCTCTTTCCTTGATCTAGAACTTGACTTGAATCTTATTTGAGACCATGTTTGTGCATTTGCATTCATAAAAATGATAAAGGCATTCATTTTAATTTTTCTAGCCAGATAAGCCAAAAGCCTACCCTTTTCTACATTTATCCTTTGCTTAATCCCTTTTGAGCCTTCATCATTTTTTCTCTCTTAACCCATAGCAAAAAAAAAAAAATCTTACCCTTTTTGAATGTCTTAGGAGTTGAAGAGTGTTATATTATATGTGCTTGGGATGGAGGAACACATTTGGAGTTATGGTTTGGGTCAATGTGAAAAAAAAGAGAAAAAGAGAAAAGAAAAAAAAATACTATAATAAGATTCCGCTCCTCTAGTTTAAGCTGTGCTTAGTAACCGGGGATCTTCATCACCAATGTCGAACTTCGCGTCAAACGGCCAGTAAAAGCTATGAGGAGCGGAATTCTTGTAGGTCAAGAAAGAGCACATAGAAAATCCAATGGTGCAAGATTGTTCCTTGGGATTTAAGCACAATCCAATGGCTAACATCAAGCGGGTCAATTAATTACTAATGGGCTTGAGTTTTGAATCCACAAAAATTTCCTTTTCCCTCATTATACTATTTTCCTTATTTTTGAAGGAGGGAGGCACGCCTAAATAACACACTTCCATCTCCATTAAGTGCATCTTCATCACCAATGTCGAACTTCGCGCCAAAATTGATGATGCTTTTTGTCGTTAAAGCACTCAATTAAACTAGGTCCCAATTAATTTGTAGTTTAGGGTCGACCTAGGTCATTACTTCCAAGGAGCAAGTTATGGGTTTCTTTAGGTAAAAATTCAGGTGATAAAAAAAAAAAAAATTGGACCTAAACTAAAATACAAAATTCTAATTCTAAATGCAAGATGCAAATGCTCTAAAATATGTATGAAAATTAAATTAAACTAAATGAATGCAATGTAATTTTTGGGGGGTTTTTTGAAAGAAAATAAAAATAATGGATAAAGAAAATTAATCAGAAAGCAAAGAGAGTTAACAAGTAGAAATTCAGATATTTCTCTTCAGGTACGGTAGAGGGGATTCCGCTCCTCTAGTTTAAGCTGTGCTTAGTAACCGGGGATCTTCATCACCAATGTCGAACTTCGCGTCAAACGGCCAGTAAAAGCTATGAGCGTGCTAGTAGCATCTTAGTGCCAATGAGTTATCCATGCTTGAGTAACCGGGCCTTTGTATCACCAATATGAAGGTTCGCGTCAAAAGAGCATATACATAACAGCCTAAGAAAGTTTAAAAAAAAAAGTGCTTGAAAAAAAAAAGAGAAGAAAAAAAAGAAAAGAAGAAGAAGAATGACCCAATCCAAGTTTAATTTAGTTTCTTGCATTCCATTATATTTTTTTTTCATTGGTTCTCTTTATTTCCTAAGATGTTCAACTTTGTTTTCCTAAACATTATATCCTTTTTTTCTTTACCTTAGCCCCATTACAACCTAATAAAAGTCCTTTTGATTTATGCTTGTAATTGCTTTATGATTGGTGGAGAATTTAGATTCTTGTCAAGCCTATGGAAAGAGGATTGAGTAGGATGATTTTGAGTGTAAACACAAGCCAATACACTTTTGAGTGATGAGTGACATACACATTAACCTTGGTAAAGGATTTCCGACTTAGATTTCCCTTTGTCAAGTAATTTGCCATGATGTTTGTTTTCTTAATTCATGAGAAGATTATCTGGATAAGAGAGATGTTGAATGCTTTGGCTTACTTCTTGCTTGTGATTGGAACATTCACTTTTGGTTGATTTTCTTTTGTTTTTCTTATTGCTCTTTGGTCTTCATTTGCTTTGCCCAGGAGTGCAAAGGCTAAGTGTGGGGGAATTGATAAAGCCCAATTTTTATACATTTTATTCCACATTAAATTAGAATTTAAATGATAATTTTGAGCTTAATTAGATTTTTTATGCATTATTGGATAAATTGGTTGATTTTTGGATTTTGCATAAAAATTGAGATTTTGGATTAAAAATATAGATATTTTGTGCTTTCCTATTTTTGACTTGGAATTAATTTTTCCTATTTCTTTGAAAACAAGTCTCATATTTTTGAAAAGACTATTTTTAGAAAATTTTGCACTTTCTTACCTAATTTTTGTGCATATCTAATATTTAATTTTTGATTATATTTGGATATAATCTACATTAATGGATGCACTTAAATTCTTGTAGGTCAAGAAAGAGCACATAGAAAATCCAATGGTGCAAGATTGTTCCTTGGGATTTAAGCACAATCCAATGGCTAACATCAAGCGGGTCAATTAATTACTAATGGGCTTGAGTTTTGAATCCACAAAAATTTCCTTTTCCCTCATTATACTATTTTCCTTATTTTTGAAGGAGGGAGGCACGCCTAAATAACACACTTCCATCTCCATTCATGAACGGACAATTCAACACCCAAGGATATTTCTTTCCTTCTCCATTCGGCCGCTGGACAAAAAAACAATTGCAATAAAGATTCATCTCCTTTCCCTACGCAAAAAGCCATCTAGTTATCCATTCAACCAATTCCATTCCATAGTCACTAACTTCATGCGTCACATGGCCGTGCTCCGCGTCAACAAGCTTGGAGGGAAGATTGTTTTGATGGAAGCTTAAGCTTCTTTGGGAGGCAACTTGGGAGGAGCATAAAGGAGACTTGAGCCTTGGGCTAGCACTTGAAGACCACAAGGGAGTGATGTTCCATTCATCTTTTTAATTCAAGGACTTAAAATTATTTAGTTTTAAATGATTTTAAGTTGTATTTCTGTTGAGACAATTTAGTTCTAGATTGTCAATTTTATTCTTGGATTGAATTGATATTTGGATTTTATTTGTGTTGAGACACTTGTTGGAATATATGTTTGGAACCTTTGCATTGTTAATTGAATTTATAATTGAGTTTTCATTATGAGTTTAATTATCAATGTGGTTTGAATTGCAAAATTTGGGTTCTTTCACCTCTTAATTGTTTAATTAAGTTGGTTGATTATCTGATTGTTTAATTGGATAATTTGAAACATAATTTCCAAAATTAAATTGAGATATCTTCATTGGTTTTGATAAGCTTAATTGACCAACCTTATACTGTTATGAGTTCTCTAATGGTTTAAGGGTTTTTGAGATTAAGGGTTCCCTTTATTTCAAATAGGTGATTAAGTTTATTAATTCCACTCTCTTATCACTTTCCTTTGGTCTAATTAACCGATTAAGGTTATGAAAGTTAAATTCATGCGAATCCTGAGTTGTCCCCTCTACCGTACCTGAAGAGAAATATCTGAATTTCTACTTGTTAACTCTCTTTGCTTTCTGATTAATTTTCTTTATCCATTATTTTTATTTTCTTTCAAAAAACCCCCCAAAAATTACATTGCATTCATTTAGTTTAATTTAATTTTCATACATATTTTAGAGCATTTGCATCTTGCATTTAGAATTAGAATTTTGTATTTTAGTTTAGGTCCAATTTTTTTTTTTTTTATCACCTGAATTTTTACCTAAAGAAACCCATAACTTGCTCTTTGGAAGTAATGACCTAGGTCGACCCTAAACTACAAATTAATTGGGACCTAGTTTAATTGAGTGCTTTAACGACAAAAAGCATCATCAGTCACCCATGCTTCTATTCCTTTTCCGTCACTCGTATCCATTAGAACAATAGAATTATTTACCTTCGTAGACGGGATACTCACCCACTTGGGTTTTCCCCACCCAAAATCTGCTTCATAAAACTCGAAACGGCACCAGCTCGAGCACATATAGAAATCTATGCCCTCCTTGTAAGCCAATTCTATGTTCTTCCATCCATCACTTAGTATTGACAAAGCATTATTTTTATCTTCAAGTTCATGAGCACGTTCCTTTGAAAATAATTCAAGAGCTTGCCTTAGCTGAACCACCGATGTTTGTAATAAGTCCATGTTTGTACTACTGTCATTAATCTCTTCTATTTCTGCTACGAAGAAGCAGTTCCCGACGGAGGTTTCTGGTAATGGTGGCTTTGTCCTTTTACGAACATTTATTGCTTGGAATACCTTTGAAGGTCTTTTGGTTATTTCTAGGTTTATTCTTGACGCCGTTGTCGCACATTTCCATATTAGTGCCAATACTGCCTCTACTCGGGTTGGTTGCTCCACCACTTTGCTTGATGCTCTGGCCTTCAGTTTTGTGATCTCTGATGATTCAAACACGTACCTACACCCAATTCAATTTTAGTTTCTTAGTTAGCAATATTTGTTTTACAGGATTACATCCAAAACTGATCAGTTGACCAGATAAATATAACAACTTGTGAGGGTAAATATTTTTTTTTCAGTTTTCTTAAATGAAACTGATTTTTTTAACATAGTGGATAAGCTATAATTGTAGTCGGAAATCCTATGCTCTAAGGTACCTACTTCCATTGTTTAATCTTTAAATTAATATTTAGTTGAAAGAAAGAATATACGGCTATTTAAACCAAATGCTACAAACAGTAAGATTAATTACCAGGATGCCATAGTAATCCTACAGTACTATGAAAATTATTTTCCAGAATATTACATCTAAAAGCTAAAAATACTTTGCAAGAACGAGTTCTGCACTTTTATTTTTTCAAATAAAGCTTCAATAAAAATGGGGTATGGCTTGACCGTACCTTCTCTCTGCACCCTATTCCACTCTCTTCAAACATTTTTCTTCTCCCCTCACTCTCATTCTCCCGTGTACACACACACATCACAAATTATTAAAATATTCAGTAATTTATATATAATATAATATATTACCTTTGGTTCTTAATATAAAAACTAGTTTAATATTTAATTTGTTTATAAATATAAAATCCTAATTTACTTTGTTACTCATATTCATCTATTTTTTTCAAGGTAGTAGTTGCACCTATTAAATGTTTCATCAAATATTAATTCTAACTAATACATATGATTTTCAAGGGTATTTTAAAAAAAAGTAATACCAATTTATTATAAATAACTAACTTAACTAATTTTCTTAGTCTACTCAAATTATTTAACTAGCTATTATATTAAGGACCGAGGTAGTGTGTAAAAGCTAAAATTAAATTAATTAATTTACAATTTGAAATTTTAATGTTTCAATAAATTTATAATAATTTAACTTTTGTTATAAAAAAAAACTTCAGGTACTAACATTTCATTAATGCAAAATGGTGGGTGCTATTAGAAAAACCTTTAGGTATTAAATATATTACTGCATGGTGGTAATTAGTTATATTAGCACTCATCATCCTAAAATAATTTTTATTTGACTTTATGTTTAAAATATTTTTCCAGGTAAAACCAATCATTTCAAACTTAAAATACTAAACGTTACTGAAAAACACCTAGTTTAAGGTACATAAGAATGCTATAAAAGATACTCGATATGCTACTCATCAAAAAAAAAAGATACTCGATATGCTTAGTATTTTCCACGATGCACTATTGCACTATCTTATATCACATTAAAAATTACTTTAAGATAATGGATGCTATTAAAAATATTAAGTACTAAATATAATAAAATTTAAATTATTATAAATTTATTAAAATAGTAAAATCTTAAATTGTAAAGTAATTTATTTAATTTTATTTTTTACATATATCGTATTATATATAAATTACCTAATATTTTAATAATTTGTGATGTGGGTGTATGTGTACACGGGAGCATGAGGGTGAGGGGAGAAGGAAAACATTTGAGGGGAGTGGCATAGAGTGCAGAGAGAAGGCACGGTCACGCCATAAGCGGATGGGCGGCAGGAGTAGCCTGCCACCAATTTTATATTTATACGGAACGAGTTCTTTATATTTTTAAAATCATACTTGCTAAGAACTACTAGAGATGTGGAATCCTATTAAATAATTTTCATAGTGTAACATCCTAGTAATTAATACTCTTTTTGTTTTTTTTATAAGCAACAACTACCATTCTCTTCTTGTCCCTAAATATAAGTAACATTTGCAAGTTGTTTTAAATTTTTGTGACAAATTTCCTATTTTACTCCTATTAATTACTTATTTTGATATTTAATATATTTATTGTCTCATTTTTCAAAACATCATCTTTCTCCATCACACATTCTCTCTCTTTCATAAATAAGGGTATTTTGGAGAAAGAATTTCTAATTTTTACCTATTTATTGTCTTTAACTAACTTGCTTATAATGAGGGATGGAGGGAGTATTACCTTTGGTCCTTAATACAAGAGCTAATTTGACTTTTAATTTGGTCTTAAATATAAGACCACAATCTATATTGTCTTTTATATCTATCCATTGTTCCTAAAATAGTCCTTATAATAGTTATATATGTTAAAGGTTTCATCGCATGGTAGTCCTAACAAATACATATGTTTTGCAAGGTTTTTGTTTTTTAAAAACACATATTTATTATAAATAATTAACTTAACTAATTTTCTTAATTTACTTAAATTAGTTAATTGGCTCTTATATTAAAAACCTGAAGTAGTATTATTGCTTATAGTATTTGACTCGAAAAGCCAAGAATATACCCAAATACATTTGCACACATACATGTAAATTATATTGCTGAAGCTAATCAAATATCTAATGATATACTCCCTGCAATCCTAATGTAGCATGTTGAGGAATTTACTTTGGTCTTAAATAATGAAAGATCTCAATCCAATTTTTTCTCATAAATTTATAATTTCTCCCTTAAATTATCTTTATTGATTACACATGTAAATAGGATTTTCATCAATGGAGATAGTTTTTCAGTGAAACAATTAGATATAATATTTCAAGAAAACCAACAAACATTTTTTTTTTATAAAGAACAAGCTTAAATAATTTTTTAAAGAAAATACTTAGATCAAGTTACTTATATCCATTATGTCAAATTCTCCAATTACATATAATTGTGTTTTATTTTTTTCATGTGAATTTATGGTTAAATGATATTAAATACTAATATTTCAAAAATAGAATATATATATATATATATAGCTGTGTTATTGGAGAATTTGAGATAATGAATATAATAAACTTAACCTAAATATTGTCCTCTCCTTAACATATGTAAATTAATTATTTAACTTTTATATTTAAAATTGAAAAGGAGTCCTAGTCTCCCAAATCACGATCTGTTTTATAACCAAAGCAAGATCCTTTGCCATGTCAAACACAAACAAATTTTATTTCTCAGGGTTGGAATATTCTAATTCATGCTTTGGACTTTTTCAACAAAAAACCCAAGTTAAAAGAACTGAAAAATAATAGAGTTGCTTGTAGAGTACCTTCTTGTGATGCAGTTAGAGGGTTTGAACTCTAAAGGTGGAAGATCATTTGAAAACTCCATGGAAGGGAAATGAGATTCCATAACGTATTTAGGAAGCATCGACTCAGTCATGCACCCAATAGCTGTACAAGACCATGCCTTAATGAACGAATCAATTGTTGAAGCATCGGCAATCTTGTGAGAAAAGGACACATCAATAGCCAAACCTCCACAATCAAACAAATTCACTTGAACTTTCATTAAAAACCCACTTCCTAAATGGGTATCATCGACGGGCACAAACTGGTGCACAAAGTCTGCGTCGGGTTGTTTAAGGATGTAGGAGAGGAAGCCATGGACACGAGTCTCGCAAAACTCGACACCTTCATCGTTACATTCAATCACTTTGTTGTCTTTGACTCTGCCTGCAAATGGATAGAAGTGGGTTAGAGTCTCAGATAATGAAGTCTTTAGCCTCTCACGCCCATCATTAGCAAACTTGTTTTCAATATTGGGATAGAAAAACAGCATTCGAGTGTGCAACATAAGAGCAAGCTGGTCAATGAAAGACAGCTTATAAGTTCTAAGGTTTTTGGGTGTTGGAGAAGATGGCTTTATGATTTGTTTGGACACCAACTCAACCTTCATCTTTTGTGGATTGATGAATCTGCTTTGAATTTTGCTGATAAGGCTCGAAATCTCATTACTCTATGCTTCTGCATGAAAAACTGATAAGTTTATATATATAGAAATCCTAGCCGGCTGGGGAATTAAATAGATGTATATTTCGTGGCATTGATGATTGCGCCAGTCAACAGACAAACACATTCGAATGGGAAAACACTGATTTAGGTAGGATAAAAATCAAATGAAAAGTCAGTCATCGGAGAACATTCTAACAGACAAAGACATTAATAAGAACAATATTAATATATAAAAGGGAAGCAACTGATTTACAAACGAAGAGTCCCAAGATATAAAAATGCCAAAGAATTAAGGGAAAAAGACAGAAAAATGCTACTTAAACTTCATAATCCCCAAATGATATATTAAATTTGAAAAATCCCAATTTGGTCTCAAATTGAGATTATTATGTGAAAGGAAAAGACCAAATTGCCATTCATTTTAAATATTATTTTAAAAATATCACAGCCCTTACTAGTCGGCCAGTCATCGGAGCTCCGGCGACCCGCCGACAATTGGTCATTGGAGCTCTGTTGGTCGGAAAATTTTTTTTTGAAAAGTTTTACAACTTCAATATAATGGTTAATAAGTTTTGTAATGCTATTAACAACTTCAGTATAGCAATTAACAACAGGTTTTCTAGGAAATTCAACAAACTCCAGTGACCGGAAACAATTTTTTTGAAAATTTTTACAACTTCAATATAACCGCTAACAACTTTTATAACGGTATTAACAACTTCAGTATAGTAATTAACAACAGGTTTTCTGGGAAATTCAACAAACTCCGGCGACCGGAAACAATTGTTTTGAAAATTTTTACAACTTCAATATAACCGTTAACAACTTTTGTAACGCTATTAACAACTTTAGTATATCAGTTAATAACATATTTTTCGAAAAATTCAACAATTGGTCGCCGGAGCTCCGGTGGAGGAAAAAAATTTTTTTTAAATTTTTTTACAATTTTAGTATAACGGTTAACAACTTTTGTAACTCTGTTAACAATTTAAGTATAGCAATTAACAACAAGTTTTCTGAGAAATTCAACAAACTCCGGTGACTGGAAAGAATTTTTTTGAAAATTTTTACAACTTTAATATAACCGTTAATAACTTTTGTAACGCTATTAACAACTTTATTATATCAGTTAACAACAGATTTGTTGAAAAATTCAACAATTAGTCGCCGGAGTTCTGGCGGAGGAAAACAATTTTTTTGAAAATTTTTACAATTTCAGTATAACGGTTAACAACTTTTGTAACCCTATTAACAACTTCAGTAAAGCGGTTAACAACAGGTTTTTGAGTTTGTTAAAGGCATTACTGAAGTTATAAAAATGCCACTTTTTGAATTTTTCGAAAAACTTGTTAACTGCTATATCGAAGTTGTTAACCGTTATATTTGAGTTGTAAAAATTTTCAAAAAAACGTAATTGTTAACGTTATACTAAAGTTGAAAATTTTTACAACTTCAGTATAAAGGTTAACAACTTTTATAATGCTATTAACAACTTTAATATAGCAATTAACAACAGGTTTTCTAAGAAATTCAACAAGCTCCAGCGACCGGAAATAAATTTTTTTGAAAATTTTTACAACTTCAGTATAACGGTTAACAACTTTTGTAACTCTATTAACAATTTTAGTATAGCAGTTAACAACAGGTTTTTCAAAAAAATTCAAAAAGTGGCATTTTTATAACTTCAGTAATGCCTTTAACAAACTCAAAAAACTGTTGTTAACCATTATACTAAAATTGTTAATAAGGTTATAAAAGTTGTTAATTGTTATACTGAAGTTGTAAAAATTTTCAAAAAAACTGTTTTCCTCCGCCAGAGCTCCGACGACCAATTGTTGAATTTTTCATAAAATCTGTTGTTAACTGATATAATAAAATTGTTAATAGCGTTATAAAAGTTGTTAACGGTTATATTGAAGTTGTAAAAATTTTCAAAAAAATTGTTTCCGGTCACCGGAGTTTGTTGAATTTCCCAAAAAACCTGTTGTTAATTGCTATACTGAAGTTGTTAATAGAGTTACAAAAGTTGTTAACCGTTATATTGAAATTGTAAAAAAATTTTTAAAAAATTATTTTCCTCCACTGGAGCTCCGGCGACCAATTGTTGAATTTTCCGAAAAATCTGTTGTTAACTGATATACTAAAGTTGTTAATAGCATTACAAAAGTTGTTAACGATTATATTGAAGTTATAAAAATTTTCAAAAAAATTGTTTCCGGTCACCAAAGTTTGTTGAATTTCCCAAAAAACCTATTGTTAATTACTATATGAAGTTGGTAATAGCGTTACAAAAGTTGTTAACGGTTATATTGAAGTTGTAAAAATTTTCAAAAAAACTGTTTCTGGTCGCCAGAGTTTGTTGAATTTCCCAGAAAACCTGTTGTTAATTGCTATACTGAAGTTGTTAATAGCGTTACAAAAGTTGTTAACGGTTATATTGAAGTTATAAAAATTTTCAAAAAAATTGTTTCTGGTCGTCGGAGTTTGTTGAATTTTCCAGAAAACCTGTTGTTAATCGCTATACTGAAGTTGTTAATAACATTACAAAAGTGGTTAACCATTATATTGAAGTTGTAAAAATTTTCAAAAAAAAATTTTCTGACCGATGGAGCTCTAGTGACCAATTGTCGGCTCCGGTGACCACCGCCGCCGGAGCTCCGGTGACTGGCCGGCCAATAGGGGCTGTGATGTTTTAAAAATAATATTTAAAATGAAGGGCAATTTGGTTTTTTCCTTTCACATAATAATCCCAATTTGGTCTCTTAAGACCAAATTGGGATTTTTCAAATTTAACATACCATTTGGGGATTATAAAGTTTAAGTACCATTTTTCTATCTTTTTCTCAAGAATTAATGTAATAAGTCAAGGGCATTCTTAATACTACTTCTCATCCTTAATATAAAATCTATTTAAATAATTTAAGTAGATTAAAAAAAGTATAAATTAGTTGTATGTTAAAAATATGCATTGATTTACTTAAAATATCGTTTTAAATCATTTGGATTGAAACTACCATTTAATGTGAATTTCTTATAATCAATAGGTTAGTTTAAATAAAGAAAAAAAATAAAATAGATTTGAGTCTTATATTTAAAATCAAATTTAATCATTCTATTACTTTTTATATTAAGAATAAGAGGTAATACTTACTCGCTTGAAGACTTTTTTTTCCGGTGACGTATTCTTAAAGACTTTTGATGCCTTTAATGATAACAGAAAAATACACTGCAGCTAATGCGTGAGACTGTTCTGTTATCTATTCAACATTCGCCTCCCATTCGGTCAACAAAGGAATACAAACCCAAAATCTTTTTGGCTTTTGACTTCCAGAGGTTTGGCAGAGAAAAGTCAAGAATAGAAATTTATTTCTTTTGAACATACCAGTCAGAATCATTATTCAGCTAAAATGAGAAGGTAAAATGAGAAACCTCTATTTTTTCCTTCCTTTACTTTTTATTTCAAATAAAACGATACTTATTCAATCTATCGTAAATGTTCCGTAAAGAAAAAATTATAAACACAAAGAAAGAAAGAAATACTGATGGTCGAAGTCCAAAATTAAATTACATTCATTCAATTGAATTTGATTATCTTTTTGTTTATTTAATTTCATTAAACTTCATTAAAACTAGACATGATTATTCATGTAGGAAACTAAAGCCTTATTACAAGAAATAGAAAAGGGAAAAAGCATTTAAATACCCTGAAAGTATCCATGAAGGAACACACAGCACTTGAAATTTTTTTGGCTCTTATATGATTTGAAATTTTTATTTCATAGCATTTCTGTTTTGAATGGCTATCTGCTGTTAAATTTGACTATTGAAGATGTCGGTCAAGCCACATAATTTAACAATCAAATTTAAAGGCGAATAATAGTTAAGGTACTTTTGCTACAAAAATAAACTTTCAAGGCATATAAGAGTCAAAAGAAAAAAAAAAAGAAGAAAACTTCTAGGTGCTGAGTGTTTCTTTGTTGATACTTCTAGAATATTTAAGCATCTTATCTCAATATAAAATGCATTAAACACCGTATAAATTTTTACATATTTTAATTAATTTAATTGATGGATAATATTCTTATTCTTATTAGGATAAAATAGCATTTAACATCTTGATGTTATTTCTCAATAGCATCTAACACCATAAGTTTATTTGTACATGCATCACATTGATGTTATTTTCTTAGTATATTCAGAATGCAATTGAAAAAAAAAGTTACTTTACGTACACTTCTTATTACATGAAATAAATTTTACAACCTTGAAGTGAGCAAACTAAAGGGGGAAAAAACTGAACCAGACCGGCTGGTTGAACCGGAAAACCGGCCAAATGTTTGATCTGGTTGAGCTGAAAAACCGGTTCCCAATCAAACCGGAATAAGTCGAGACAAACTGGTAAAAACCGTGCAAACCGTTGGCTTGGGTGAGTTGGCCGATTGTTGTTTTTCACTTCCTTCTTGTTCTTACCATTCGTCAGACATGGACGACTCGCTGGCCGAAGACCATGAACACTGCAATGGCAAAGCAGAGGAGATCATAGAGAGGAAGACAAAACTTTGTTTGGAAGTCTGTTGTGTGAGACTTTGAAGTATCAAACTTGTTTGCTCGTAGAGGATTAGAAGAGAAGGAGAAAGATAACAGATAGAGGAAGATGGATGAATGGGAAGTAAGGAACACACAAACCGATTTGATAGAAAATGAAGAGAGTGATGTGTGTTCAAGCTTCAAAGAGATATAAATCTGCTACTGCTCTGCTTGTTCATTGTCCAAGGAAGAAAGAGAAAAGAAAAGGCTGCTTTGCGTAGTATGAAGAAAGGCACTTAGTTGGGTCACGTGGGAGAGGAGAAAGAGGAAGCAAAAAAAGAGTAAGAAAATTAAAAAGCAAACAAAAAATTATTTGGTCATGGGAGAAAAGAAGGAAAGAAGAAAGGGAAAAAAATT